TCGATAATTGATTTGGAAAAAAGAAAAGCTGGTTTTGAACTTGGAGTCAATGATTTGGAAGGAACTGTAGGAATTGTTTACTTGAGAGATGAAGATGCTGAAAATTCCACGCTTGTAGCACGTCAAGCGCCGCACGCTTGAAGACCAATTAACTCGGATGCTGATTGAGTCTAAAATTGCAAGTCTTGAGAAAGAGTTGAAAGATTTGAAATGGAGCGCCGAAGAGAAGGAAACCTTGTGCCAGAAGCGTGTGGTACGTTTTCCTGTTCGATTTCCGCAAGTTTTTATTGTTCACTTACCTCCAGGAATCCACTCGTGATCGTGACCGCTCAAATCTGGAGAAGGCTCGACTCCACGGTCAGCTGGAAGAAGTAGAAAAAAAGGTTTCTTAGTTTGATCAGTTTTTCTCTGGATCCATACTTACATGCTACCTCCTTTGGTTCTAAACTGTAACGGTTTTCCCAGAGTTTTCTTAGATGAATCCAATGCATCGTATATAAAGCACTATTGTACTTATATGATCACGTATTAGATGAATCCATCTATTTCTTTTTTGCCTTTGGCATAGTTGAATGTTTTCCATTGATTTTCTCTGGACTTTGACATATAGATATTAAAGCTGTCGCCAGACCGCAAAATCGGAAAAGACATCATTGGTAATACATGAATGATTTATGCCTATTTTGATAACGGTCACTCTCGTGCTCGGTGGTGATGCTTAAAATCACATCAATCAAAGTAATTGTGGTAGATGTTCTTAGCATCGCCACTTATAAGTGTTTGTGGGCGCGCTCCGCAATGCATGCAGGCTTAAAAGAGAGAAATTTTGGGGTTGGTAGAAAACTTCTCAAAATTCCTAATTGTTAATTTTAAGGTTTTTTCTTGAATAATTACGCCCCAAGTAGTGATGCATACTGATGATTCACGATCGTATACCCCGGCAATGGGAGCTGCAAGAGAAAAGCGTAAACAGTTTTGACACCTAGTCTGCTTCTGAAAGCCTGAGCCTGTTCATGTTGGACTCGGGCTGTATACCACGCGATAAAAATTGATGTGAAAAAACGCTTCTTAATTCTGCTTCCCTAACAGCTCTCCATCGGGGGCTGTTCACAGTTTGTCTTTATGTATCAAGCTTGTATCTATGTCATTGCGTTGCTAGCAAATGCTTCATGTTTTCATTTAGATAAATGAAGCTAAATTAGCGCTATCTTCGAAGGAAATGAAGCAAGCCGAGAAACTCTATCACGATGTTATGGTTGATAGGATTATAACGCAAGAAATGATTGCAGTTAGTAGTGAAATTGTTTTTCATAAAGGATTTACAAACAGACTCGTTTCAGGATCTAGAGAAATACATGCAATGTCTTGACATTTCCATCATTCAGTTCCACACAGAGAAGATGGCTGCCATAAATAGTATTTTGGACGACTTGTGGCGGAAGGTTTACAATGGAAGTGACATTCAGACAATACGCATCAAGTATGATTGTTTTTTTGTTGAACTGGATCTAGTATTTGATTTTAATTGTTTGAGATCTGAGTGCGTGACATCGACCGAGAAACGCAAAGCATACGACTATAGAGTTGTGATGATAGTGAACGATGGTGTAGAACTTGATATGAGGGATCGATGTAGCGCGGGACAAAAGGTTTGATCCTTAAGTATAGTTGCTCAAGTAATTGAAATTGTTGTAGATGTTGGCGTGCATATTGATTCGTATTGCTTTGGCTGATGTTTTTGGTGGAATGTGCTCGATAATTGCTCTCGATGAACCAACAACGAACCTAGACGCAATAAAGGTAAGGATAGTTTGAAGGCGCCAGTGCCCGTAGTTCTGTGAATTAATTTGTTACAGCAAAGTGAGATAAATCATCGCTACCCTTCTAATTAACATGAAACTCTAGGAGTTAGGTTTTTTTCACTCTATGATTTTCGGTGCTTTAGGTACATCACATAGCTGCAATGCTCAACAGTCTTGTTGCTGTGCGTAGAAGAGGCTATTCTACGTCTGATGGGCAAAAGAAGCCTTTTCAAGTAAAACTTCTTTCCTCCCACTTTGTCTGTGAAGATTACACTTTGTAGAACGTATTTCAGATGATCATAATCACTCACGATGACCACCTTGTGGACAAGTTGATGATTGGATCAAAACCTGAGTTTATCTATGTGCTAGAGAAGGATTCTTATGGGATATCGCATGTGAAGCGGCAATTTTCGGACGGGTGCGTTTTTCCTTTCACTTAATGTTAGGATTTCGAGTTTTCACCGAAGAATCTCAAAGCAGAATACGTTATCATTTTTATAATCAACTTATGCATCTTACGCATCTGCAAACGAACGCTTTTAGACACTCGGAAGACGCGAACGGTCATATACATGTCCGGCATGGTCGGTGATTTTCTTGAAATTGTCTCGCCTGCTTGAATGACTTTTTGTGTTGATCTCTTGTAAATCACCAGTTTTGCGTATCCATATGCTTAATTGAAATTCTTCTTTATTCATTTATGTATTATTTTTAATCAATTTGAGCCTTATGAGTAGTAGAGGAAATATTGTTCGGTTTCTTCAAAATCCGCTTCAATGTTCCTTATATTCCATTTTTCTACATCTTGCAGAAGTCTCCTTACTTTCTAACACCGTGGCTTTTTGATTAATTTTTAGCGAAAAATCTACTTTAGTCTATCATCATCATGCAAGATTTCATGAAAAATTCTAATCTTGACTCCAGTTTTTCACGTTTCTTTTTTGCTCAGCATTTGTGTTATGAAATTCTCTTGTGCTGATTTTATAGTGAATGACAATCTCCATCCGGTTTTTGTTGCTTGTCAACTCCCCGATGCTATCTCGTTTTGTGCATCTGTTTTAATGTTATTAGTGATTAATCGTTAATAAAGACATAATCTGGGTTT